ATGTTGATTTGCTTGAGATCCCAGGGCTTTCCAAAGGAACCTCCTCACACAAGCCCTTCAGAGGCCAAGTCCCTCAGCTCCTATTTCTAATGCTAAGTCCCCAGCCAGGATTCCCATTTGGTCAGGCTACTGCTTTAATTTAATTTTACTTACTTAAATATTTATAGGTTTTTAGAGGGGGGGGGGAGGGATGGGAGGAGAGCTAGAGCAAGAGCAAGAGAGAGAGAGGGAGAGAGGGAGGGAAAGATATATATATATATATATATATATATATATATATATATATATATATATATATATATGTTGCTCCACTTATTTATTCATTGATTGGTTGCTTCTTGTATGTGCCCTGATAGGAGACTGAACCTGCAATCTTGGAGTATCAGTGCAATGCTCTAAGCAACTCAGCAACCCGCTAGGACCACAACTACTTTTCTTGGAACTTCAAATGGAAAAAGGCTCTGAACCTTTTCCTGCTAGCCATCCCAGCGGGGCCTGGAGGGCCACATGCCAATTCAAGGAAATGTTTTCCTCTTGGCAAGCCCCCAGACCCTGACTACCACAGAGAGATGTCTCTTCGGAGAGAAAAGACTACAGCATCACAATATCTAGGTTTTATGGATTCTGAGGGCATTTGGCCATACACATTTTTTCCTGATTAAATCTTTTTTAAAAAGGAAGAAAGAAAGAATACACACACAAGAAGAAATAAATAAAACCATGGCTTCCTTTGGAACTGATAATCAGCAGAACTGTATCCTGGGCCAGAATGGACGATCTGCTCAACAGATTCTTGGAGTGTCTTAAAATGCTCACATTAAAAAACCTCCCTAGGGTTCAGGCCTTCAAGATGAAATGCAGTGGGGCAGGACAGCGCAGCCCACATGGCTCCATCCTGGGAGCCAGCGGTCCAGGCTCCCTCCTTGTCCTCAGGGCTTTTCAGGTCTCATTCATGGAAGGGAGGAAAGGCACCGGCAGGGAAGTAAGGGGGAAACACAGGTGGTATGTATCCAAAATCAGGAATGTATGTCTGTGAGGTCTCGGAGGGGCAGGCAAGGAAAGAAGAGAGGACGATTCTGCTCAGGGGTGAGTTCTAAAGGAGCTGCCACCTACACAGGATACCATATTTTCGGACCATAAGAAGCTCCAGACCATAAGACGCACCAGTTTTTAGAGAAGGGAAATGAAGAAAAAAAGATTCTGAAACAAATAGTGTCCTAAAATATTTTATGTGCATTAAAACCCAACATCACAGTCATAAACACATGTAATCAACCCTGTAAAGTAAACAGCAGCATTTAGAACCATTTTAGAGCCGAGCAAGCACACAGAGACCACACAGAGCTGGGCAAGTAAAAAAACTTTTTTTTTTAAAGTATATGTGTAGGCTATATTTGGACCAGAAGTGGGGGGAAAAAGTGTGTCTTATGGTCCGAAAAATACGGTACTTTCTAAGAGACAGTGCCTTCTACCTGACAATCTTGCCCACTTTACATGGGCATAAAACAGCATCCAGCAGAGACAACTAGCACTGAGGCTCAGTTCAGGGCTGGGAGGTTTGTGGCAGCAGCAATAGCAGCTGTCACGGAAAAAACTGATGAGCAGCCCGTGAAAGAGTAAATGTTCCTTTTCCTGGGCAAGCATAGTCAATGGTCTGCCAACACCAGCATGGGGCCCTCCTTGGTGCTCAGGGCTGTGTCTCATTACTCCTAAAAGCTCCCTGATTCATGGGTAATCGCCAGCTATTATTTCCATATCACTGAGTCACCTGAGTGGCCACAGACCCTCTCCACTTGACTTCCAGCCAACCCCATTAGCTAATGGCTCCTCCGATGGCTACAGCCCCACTCGTCATTCTGTGATTCAAGCTCTGAGAAGTGAAGTTCTTCTCTAATCCCTCCTTGCACCAGCAGGTTACCCCTCTTTCATCCGGCATGATTTCACCTTCCTTCTCTCCTGGAGAAACAGAAATCTGCCCAACTCAAGATAGCACCCTTAAACATGAGAATCCTACCAAGTGCCACATAGCCTTTATTCATTCACTGAACTTGAACACATGATAGCAAAGTGTGGGTTTTCTCCATGGGAAGATTTGTTAGCTTCTATGGAGCAGAAGTTGTTAATGTTTCTTCCAGCTCCTAAATTATAGAATTTATGTGGTATATGGTCGAAGGATACTTTTTGGTCCAGTCCATAATGGCTATGCTATCATCCTAACTGGTCTTATTGCTTTTGACCATGTATTACCACAATTCATATCATATTTCTACCAAATTAGCTTTTCTAACTTGTAGCTTTAAACCCATCATTCCACAGACCAACATTTTCAAAAGATGCCTAATTAGAAGAACAAAATTACTTTGCCTAACAACCAAATAGCCAATACAATGAAAAATAATCAAGCTTCTGTTCTGGAAGTATAGAATGAGCTTTAACAAATTTCAGTTTCAGCCAAATAGTCCATTTCACAATCCTGCAAACAGGGGTTTTCTAACTTTGTATTAGTATTTGTGACATTCCTCTTATGTAAATGTGCCCCGCCCCCGGGCAAGAAACATGACATAGTCATTAATGTCTAGGTAAAATAATTTCATAAGATCATCACTCCTGCACTTTGGGCTGCCCATTTCATATCATCCATCCAGCTATCTTGATTGGGCATCTATTAAATGTGGATGAGGGCATGCTCTTTTGGCCTCTCTTGGACTATTGGTGAACTCATGTGTATTTAATCTTCTCTACCCAGATGGATTATGCTCCTTGCTATAGTGATTTTATAGCAACACTGAAGCATACAGAACACCTAAAATGGATGTGGACTTTAATATTCATGGTTTTCCCCCCAACCCTTTTGAAAGTGCCCCTGCAATTATAATTATCTGTATGAACACATTTTACAGCAAAGGAAGCTCTCCCTGTAAGTGGCTGACCTGGAGCCATAGCATGGAGGTCCTACCTCTTCCAGCACTACCCACTCTACCACTGCAATCCAGGAGGAACTGTCTAAAGTGCTGGGACCTGCCAAAACCAGTTTGGCTCAATGGGTAGAGCATCAGTCTGTGGACTGAAGGGTCCCAGGTTCGATTCTGGTCAAGGGCCTGTACATTGGTTGCAGGCACATCCCCAGTAGGGGGTGTGAAGGAGGCAGCTAATTGATGTTTCTCTCTCATCAATGTTCCTAGCTCTCTATCCCTCTTCCTTCCTCTCTGTAAAAAATAAATAAAATATATACTTAAAAATAAATAAAATAAAATAAAATAAAACAAAATAAAATGAAATGCTGGGACCTGAAGGGTTACATCCGGGGGCATCTCCTCCACATGAACTCAGTGATGCACAGTGTTCCCCTGGCCAGGTAAACCTGGCTTTCGCTGTGCCTCTAGCATCACGGGGAAAATTAACCAACTGTCAGATAAAACGCAATAACACAGCAGATTAAATGACTAATATTCTGTGTCTTGAGCTTCTCAGCCTAGCCCGTGGCCACTGCGCCATCCTGGACAGATGCACCATGGCCCGACTCTGGGAGCAAAACTGTGCATTCTGCTGGAAGGGCAGCCAGGCTGCTCAAGAGGAAATGAACCCTAATTGTAAATCTTTTCTATTTTTAGCCTTAATGTGCATTTTAGTTGGCAGGAAGGGCAGCATGAATAAAACTGCAATACCGAGAATTTTAATTTGCTTCCTCCAACATGCTCTCTCAATAGAGGCCTGGGGAAGGTGCTTCCGGCCTCCTGCCACTCCAGGAAGAACCCCAATCATCATTACCCTCTCCAGATAAAGCCCGAGAGCATGCCTCGCTCATGGAGGCCCTGCATGTATAATTTCTAACACATGAGCCCTCTAAGGAGAAATCTAAGAATGACTTCACCGAACCATCCATTTCACAGACAATATTGCACTATCTCCCCATGTTCCATTTTGGCTTCTATCGCTAGAGTCTCTCTCACTTGCTAATGTATATGTTGTTTCTTTTTTATTTTAATTTAATTGCATTTTATGTTGGTAGCCTTATATTCTATCCAGGAATGTAAGGTCCTGAAAAGCAAGGGCTATATGTATGTTATAATGTATCTGTAGTAAAAGGTACATGATATATTTTATAGTATGCATTCCATAGCATATATACACATACATCACACACACACACACATCAAATAGCAAAACCTCATTCAATGATTTCTTTACAAAGTGAAACTCTCCCTCAATCCAACCACCAAGAGATGAAAAGTCCTGAGATCACCTGTCTCTGAATGATATTCTCTGTGGATTTTATTTTTCCTCTGGCCATTTCTCTCAGTTTTAGAAAGTTCTTATTGTTCTTAAGCCTTTGGGGGTGGGGGCATCCTTCCTTTAAGGGTCTTATAAAAGCTATCCTGGGTCTTTATCTAGAAAAATTATCACCTCTTGACACACACAAAACACATTCTCATATTCCATGATGGTCTGGGGCTCCTAATGGTCTGAAACATCTACATTAAAACCTGCTGTGTGCCCTAGCTGGTTTGGCTCTGTGATACAGTGCTGGGACCTGAAGGGTTTGGCTCAGTGAATAAAGTGCTGAAGGGTTTGGCTCAGTTGGTCTGCAGAATGAAGAGTTCAAGGTTTAATTCTGGTTGCAGGTTGCATCCCCAGTAGGGGGTGTGCAGGAGGGAGACAATCAAAGATTCTCTCATCATTAATGTTTCTCACTCTCTCTCTACCTCTCCCTTCCTCTCTGAAATCAATAAAAATATACTTAAAAATAAAAACAAAAACAAACTGTGTCTCCACATTGAGATCCTTAGTATCTGGCTTTTCCCTTGTGTGCTGGGTCAGATGTTTACAAGCTCAAGTCAGTGACGCGAGACCCTCTTTGCAGCCTCTTGTTCCACAGGCACCCGGTTCAGGCGACTGCAGAGAACCAAACTGGTCACGGGGAAAAAGCATGGAGATGATCAACTAGGGGCTTCTCCCGGGGGAACCATGCACAGCTGTCTCAAACAGGGTTCTGTGCTCACCTTCTGGTCTTGGCTGTACGCCAGAATCCAGTCCTCCTGCTTGGGGTGGAAGAGCAAGCTCTGGATGTAGAAGCTCAGCCGGTACTTTTGATAGGTCGCTCCTTCATCTGAGCTGATCAGTAAACTGCTCTCAATCTCCGGGTCTGTGAGTAACATAATCTGCAGCAAGGAATTGTTGGGGAAAGATAATAACAGGAAATTAGATTTACAAATTTTCAAAACGTAACAATGAGCCAAAATTTTGACAAGGGAGGGAAAAGGGGCAGGCAAGGAACACCTGGGAATACCTTCGCCCAATGATATAAAATGAGATTCACTAAGGAATGAAGGAGGCAGGACAAGTTGGAAAGAAGAGAGAGGAAACGGAAGACTGCATTTTCTTCGCTTCCATAGGGTTCCTGGATGTTCTCTTTTCCCCAAAGTTATTTCCTTCATCTGAACTATCTTCCACTGCTCCCCTAACCTCAACCCCCTACCCACTTGGCCTTGTGTACTTTTGTTTGGAGGGGAGGGGAGATTAAAGAGCAAGACTTGTAACATCTATTGTTGGAAGGAAATGGAAAGAGATGGGAGTTCACAGATTTTCTTGATTGCACAGGCCTCTTGTTCATGTCAACAATATCCCAAGTCATCCTAACATTTAGATGGAATTTTTGTTAGTTTTGTGTCAAAGGCTGGCTTCTCTACAGTCTTTTCTTGGAATTGTATAAAGGACACTTTATCCTATTATATAATTTACTTATTTATTTTGTTTACTGTTCACATACCTCTACTAGAACCTAAATTCCATGAGAATAGAAGTAGTTGATAATTCTCTATTTTTCTCCCCCACACTTGTGTTCCCAGCAGCTATAGTAAGACCTAGATTATCTTATATTAAAGGCCCAGTACACGACATTCCTGCACTGAGAGGGTGATGAGGGAATCCCTCAGCCCAGGCCTGCACCCTCTCACAGTCTGGAACCCCTAGGTGGACATCCCCCGAGGGGTCCTTAGCACTGCCTCAGAGACAGAAGAGGCTCCTGCCACTGCCACTGCATTCACCAGTCATGAGCCCAGCTTCTGCCTGAGCAGCACTCCCCCTGTGGGAGCTCACTGACCACCAGGGGGCAGCTCCTGCATTGAGTTTCTACCCCCTGGTGGTCAGTGCATATCACAGGGACTGGTCATTCCACTATTCAGTTGATTTGCACATTAGCCTTTTATTATATAGGATACTCAGTAAATATCTATCAAATGAATGAATGAATGGGAAGAGTTTACAGAGTAGTCACATGGACCTAGAAAGATGCCCAGCACAGTGTGAGCACATATGAATGGAGATCCCTGAGAAGAGTAGCTGGATCTCCCCATCAGTTGTCTTCCTGTCTACAAGAGAATATGCTCTGACTGTTGGAAACTTAATAGTGTCATCTGCTTTGCCCTCTCGCTGGGGTGGTTCATCTTGGTCAGAGAATAATGAACAATCCACAAAAGGAACACGATGGAGAAGCTGCCCGGAACACTGATTTTTATTCTCTCATGCTATGCCTCTGGGAATGTGTGATGAAGTACCTCATTCCCCACTCACTGCAGGTCTCCTTTCACTCAGTCAAAGTGCACATCTAATGCCTCCTGACAGGTGGCCTTAATGCTACCTGCTGACTTCCTCCCCATCAGCGTATTAATTGACACTTTCTGAGTTTGGTTCAAAGAAGCATGAAAGATGTGCTTAGTGTGTGGCTGTATGAAGAGAAATCACTGTAGCCCAGGGATTTTAAAGATTACCAGCTGAGGAGATAGCAGTTCTAGGACAGAAAGAGTGAGAGAGAAAGGAAAAGTAAAACAGAGCCATGTCATAGAAGAGTAGAGTGCCAGGCAAACACACTGAGATTTCTCAAGCATTTGGAGGCAATCATATTAAAACCTTGGGATAGTGCCCTAGCTGGTTTGGCTCAGTAAATAGAGAGAGCATTGGCCTGGGCACTAAAGGGTATAGTTCAATTCTGGTAAGGAGCACATGCCCGGGTTGTGTGCTTGATCTCGGGGGGGGGCGGGGGGGTGGAATGCAGGAAATCAATGATTCTCATCATTGATGTTTCTATCTCTCTTTCCCTCCATCTTCCTTTCTGAAATCAATAAAAACATATTTTAAAGAAAAAAAATCTGGAGGATAGTTAGTATCATCTTCAAAAGTGGTGTCCTGTGATGTCGCTGCAAATGTCACATGAAGATTGCACACCAGACACACTCAACCTGCACTGTGTTTATGTCATGTGGGGAGAATTAAAGGCTCCCTGCTGTTCTTACAACCTCCGTTCTTTTTTTTTCTTTTTTAATTTTTAAAATTGATTTCCAGAGAGGGAGAGAGGGTGCTGTAGAGGGAGAAAGAGACATTGACATGAGAGCAAAACATCTCAAAACATGGATTGGCTGCCTTCTGCATGCTCCCTGTTGAAGACTGAGCCCGCATCCTGTGTATATGCCAATACCAGGAATTGAACTGGCAACTTTTTGGTGCATAGGACCACACTCAACCTCCCTTCTGGAAGAGGAGAAAAGGGATGTGGGGCAAGGGGTGCAACACCATGGCTGCTCTTGCATTCAGACACGATGGAGAGCCCACAGAAAATTGGAGACTCACTGCCTCTCAATCCATGTTCCGGTCAATCACTGTTCCCCACCATAAATTCTGACAAAGTTACAATTTTCTTGTCTGTAGTTTACCACGCAGATAGGGTTCTCTCTTTGGATGGCTGGCATGGAGCTATCATCTAAATGCTAAGTACAAACTCACATACATGGCTTCATTAAAATCTCTCAAATGCATTAAACAGGGATGTTCATATGGCACCTAAATTCACAAGAATATTTCCAGGTGATTTCATATTTACTAGCACAAACAGGTGTTTTCCAAACAACAAAGTCATCAAATGATTATATTGCTTTGTGTCTCCAACCACAATTAACCATGATATATAACATGATTTTTGCACTTCTGCCCAAAGTAATTTCCATAAAAATATGAAGAGGCTCAATTTCATAGGGCATCTATTGTCTTGACAAGGTGATTTACCCCTTCCTCTGATATTCGATTTCTCTGTTAAGCAGAATATGTTTTCCTCTCTTCCCAGGAGTGCAGACCCCACCACCTGCTTCTCCTGGAAGACCACTTCAGCAAAATAAAAAACTGGGGCCTAGCTGGTTTGGTTCAGTGGATAGAGTGTCAGCCTGCAGAAAAAGGGTCCCATGCTAGATTTGGGTCAAGGGCACATACCTTGGTTGCAGGCTCCTCCTAGGCCTGGGCTTTGGTTGGGGCTCATGCAGAAGGCAACCAATTGACGTGTTTCTCTCACCTGGATGTTTCTCTTTGCCTTTCCCTCTCTCTAAAAATCAATGGAAAAGTAACCTCAGGTGAGGATTAACAAAAAAATATCAATAAATAAATAAATAAATAAATAAATAAATAAATAAATACAAATAAGATAATAAAATTTAAAAACTGGGTCTACAGAATATCTCCAAATCAAGCTGATTTTTATTTATTATTTATTTAAAATATCTTTGATAGTAATTTATGCTCCAAGTCATGCGACTGTATAAGATTTTTCTGCAGCCAGGTGCTATAGCAGAGGTAGTATATTGCAAACATCTTTCAAACATATGACTACTTAAGAGCAAGTAAATGAAACTCCTGGCTTCGTGGCAGCTTTTTCTGGGTACTAAAAATATGTAGACTAAAATTTCACCTTCTCTAAACGGCCCTCACCTAAAACCCTCTCTTTTGAAATTTGACATTTTAGAAATGATGGAAGATGCTAGGAAATACCCCCTCTAAGATTTATAAGTGCTTGTATTACACAAACCTTCCAGTGGTTTGTCTTTCAAACCTCTGCTCAAATCCACTCAAAACAAACAGGTCAACTGGGATCTATTTCTACTTAGCCTTTTTTATTGCACAAACACCTCTGTAAGACCTGCAGTAGACGAATTGAAAATAAAAGAAAAATCAACTGCTCATGACCCTATCCTTACAACAAGTTAAACGATGTTTATGATTCCTTCTACTTTATCCACATCTACATATCATATTATAGATTTTTCATTCTGATTTATAACTTAATTTTTAAATTTCATATTATTGCCTATATTCAAATCCAACTGAATGAAGAACACACAAATGCACGCACACACAATAATACACACCACTGTAACCAATGTGTTACTTAGTCACAACCTTCAACTTCATTCATTTACAACCAGTGCAGTGGTTGAACCATAGAAAGTATTTAATAAAGTATTGTGAACCAAATAAGTGAACTCTTATTATTTCAGTCTTTAAAAATGTTAATGGTTTTATTTCAAATGCTTGAGGTTTGTTTGGTCATTTTGTAGGTTAATAAGTAAATTAATAAATAAATAAAGTCTTTAAGCAAAATATAAATAGAAAATGTTTAACCTATTTGAAAAAAAAAGAAACAATGTGAATAATATGTGTGAACCCATCTTTAGATAGGAATGATGTCATTTGTACATAAATATGCTCTATCCCAGAAGGTATTATACTGGGAAATATCAAAATGGCAACTTCAAAATCATGAACACTCCTCAAAAATGTGTAGGTTACATCCCTTAAACATGTCCAATCATCACTGTCTGTTGAATTACAAGGGCTCTCTACTCTTTCTGTCTCATTGTGTGACTTTAAATAAATGGTGCTTTGTTTGTTTAATCCTCTGCATTCTGGAATATGATCTGAATGACAGGAATTTGGAGGACTTTGTAAAAAGACATGAACCCAAACTTTGCACAATTCCTGAAGTGAGCTCTTTAAAAAGAGGGGCCATTATTTATTTACCCGATATAGAGCTTGGTCTCTAGTGAATGAACAAGTGAATGAGTGCATAGGTGAATCCTCTTCATTCCTGAGACCCTGAAAGTCTGCATCCTCTTAAATAAATCCCTGCAGTTCTACTTGGAGGCAGGGAGGGTAAAAACAAGGGGAAGTGTCTTTCTTTAACAGGGAAGTAATGATTCTCTGTTCAGACCAGCCCCCTGGGTATTAGAGCTTTGCAAGATGTGCAAATACTGTGTTGACTGCATCAGCAGATGAATTGTTTTCTATAGAAAGTCAATAATGGCTACACAGGCTCCCACGGCCCAACTCCAAGCTATCATTC